CACACAGGCCTCCATTATTTCTAAACTTGCCTTTTATTAATGTTTCCTGAACGTATCTTCAAGTCAATAGATATTTACCTTTATGACTGAAATAGCAATTGAAAACTGTGTATTTTTATCATAATTTGCATCATTTACTGTCATGTTTGAACACTAGTTGAGTTCTATCATTTTCTAAATTACAGACAATCTAATGACAAATGACAAGTCCTCTAAATTATAAAAACATTATATTTTAAGAAGATAAAATTCAGTGTACACCAACTTTTCCAAGTGTAGTATGCTCTAGAAAAGGAGGGATGATTCTAGAGCACAAATTCTGGGCTGGGGGCACTGGAGCCCTCTGAGTGGAGGTGCTTAGAGCCTCCTGTCCTTGGAGAGTAAAGGTCACCTGTGTGCCATCGTCAAAACACCCAGTGTCCCTTTCAGCATCACTGGCCCTGCTGGGCTCCATCCATCAGCCAGTTGCTCTCAGACTCTGCAGTCATCAGAACAGCTGGGAGCTTGTTAAAAATACATATTCCCTGGCAGCACTCCAGGAAACTGGACTTCAGTGGTTCTGGTGGAGCCAGAAAAAAAAAATAGGCCAGGTGATTTCCATAATCATAGGGGTTCAGGATTCTCCATTAATCCTGGCCTACAGCAGAGATCAGACTTCCAGGCTTGTCCATGGCAGGCATTTTTTTTTCTATTTTACAATAAAATTTTGATGCTCAGAGACATGAGTGGGAAGATGAGGTGGAGCATATTTACACAAGCACCCAACCTAAGTCTGTGCACCCCACTCCCCTCTGTCTGGAGTGGCCCTATAGCAAATAGCTTGATTGTGGACGGTGGTTCTCAACCTTGGCTGCACATTAGAATCACCTGGGAGTCTTTTTAAAATCCTGATTTCTGGGCCTCATCCTCCGGAAATTCTGTTTCTTTGTTATGGGGTGGGGCCACAACATTAGTAACAAAGAAACAGAATTTCCGGAGGATGAGGCCCAGAAATCAGGATTTTAAAAAGATTCCCAGGTGATTCTAATGTGCAGCCAAGGTTGAGAACCACTGCTCTAGGTGGACAGAAGGGCCTTTCTTAATCTCTTTCCCTCTTGTATCCATTCAACAAACATTTATTGCGCATCTAGCAGGCTCAGGTGTTGTGCCATCCCCACTGTGACCTGCAGATGAATGGGACCTCATATGAAACTCTTGGGGTCACTGCACCCCAGTACGGGTGCCTCCTGAGGCCACGCCCCTGAGGGGGTCCGTCTGAGTGTCAGCCGCAGGTAACTGGCAGGAGGTTAATCTCCTCAAAATGTCAGCTTGTTCATCAATCCCCCTTCACACACACACACTGGATGCAAGTATCTTAGGTTTGGAACTCCCAGCAGGGCTGAGCGCATCTGGCTGACAGCTCAGGAACTCGGTTTCCTTAGGTAGGAACTTAGGTCTTATCTCCACCGCCAGCCTTTCCTCACATCCTCCCACCCAAGCCGGGCGCTAAGGTCCCCGCTCCAGTCATGTTCCTTCTTGTCCCCCGTGCAGGTGGGCGAGGGTAGGGCGCGCCAGGGCCCTTGGGGGGACAGGGGTCAGGACTTTGTCATCGCCGGCAGCGACGCCTACGTTTGCTCACCAACTAGAGCATCCGTTCCGATTCCTTCCTCTCGACCTGAGACTGGAGGGGGAAACTGGGGCAGCCGAGGAACCGCGAGGGTTCCCGCGGCTTTGAGCGCCATCTGGCGAGGAATCCTGCAGGAATCAGGGCTCCAGCCTCGCCTGGAGTTCTTTCCCTTCCGTAGGGTACTCCCACCCACCAGCGGGGCTCCCCTCAATGAGCTGCTCTGCCCACCTGCAGCGGTCCACCCCCGCCCACCGCCTCCC